GCGTAACCACCAAAACAACCCTTCTTGGGATCCACGCAGTCAGTGCCCGACTTTGCAAATTCGTCGAGATGCGCGTGAACGTCGTTGACGTGAAAGAATGCTACGTAAATAAGTCAATTGAACCACTCAAAATGCAATTGATCACATACACATGTTGTAATGTCCATCATCGTCGACGAATCGCTTGTTCAATCGCTTGCTGTACAGGACATCCTCAGCAGAGACCAAGCCCGCCAAAGCGAGGGCACCCAGAGTAATTGACGACTTCATCATGTTGACCTACGCGCAGAGAAGAGATGGAACTCAGCATCACCAGAAAATCAGGCCCGTCGCTCTCTTTATTGCGACAACGGCCCCGGCCGATCAAAGACTTGGGGTCGCGCAAAGGTTCCATGAGAAAGGGATCGCCAAGACACACGTGGGCAACGTGAGTGGCCAGCCGAGGGAATATCTTCACTCAATCTCCTTCTCCTTCCTTGTCAGCTATAGTGTAGCTATCGTATTATCTATCACTATGTAGAAACGTGTAGGTAGAGACTATCTATCTGTATCAGCCAAGACGGCGTTCGCCATGATAAGAATAGGTTCTTGGGCGGGTTTGTCCGACAGATGCTCATGGGCAAGGTTTGGGCTTTATAGCGTCGGTCAAACGGTTTTGTATGTGGTAACTTGCCCGTGAGCAGCAAGTCTAATCATCTGTCAATCGAGCGTCTTATCATTCAGCTGATCAGCGTCCGTGTAATGTAACAAATGACAGGTGGGTTACATTTCCTGCTGCACAGCCTGACTCGTCGTGGATCATTGATCATCTTGGTTGATGTTCTGGGGGCGGTTCAGTTTTTAGTCTTTAAGCTTAAACCTCCCCATGGCTAACGCCCTCTTCGCCTCCGACATTGACGGACGGACTTAACAATCAGTCACTCACTGGATGTGCTAGCTAACCGAATCGCCACAGGCTTTTCGGGCCTTTGATGAATTGCCCAGTTCAGCGACCCAACATATCTTGCCTTGCCAATTGGCTCCTCGATACACTTTCCTCCATCCATGTCACGCTCTGGGATTCAATATCGAGATGCCTATTCTGGTCTAGTCTCTGTGCTGCACAACATCGCTAGTAAAAATGCTGATCAAGCCAGTCAATGCGTTCAGTTGTTGACTTGTGAGAGGATCAATACGTTGATTACTGTCCTCTGTTGTTTAGGCGGTCTCCAGAGCAATATGCCCGTCGTTTATCGACGCTAGGTTCTAGTTATTCGTCCGATATTCGATGCTGTATCCATTTACCAGCATAAGTCTACAGTGCTGGTGTCTCGGGTAGCAGAGGTCCAGTAAGAACTGTGTACTAACAGGGCTTTTCGCCGCAACTACACGACTCAGCACGTCACGATGGTCTATATAAAAAGAAAAAGAGGCGTACTAAAACTTCATGCAACTCGTATTAATTCCCGATATCTGTCGGCTTTCGTAGTGTTGGGGCGGTTAGGCTAGAAGCCCGCCAGTGCGCTTCGGTGAGTTAGTGGGTGGCGTGGAGTCCTAGTGAAGTTGTGGCTGGACACCGTCACTTTTCGAACCTGCTTACCCTATACCAGCTCCCTCGACATCAGAGGCTCATGAGCATATGCCACAATCCCTTGGAAAGATCATCAAGAATTTGACACTATTGTAATGATCTCACGTCAGCAGTCGATCACTTATTCCCGTGCTCTATTAATAAGAAGGAGGCCTCTTGTGATCGACGACTTAGTAGAGTACCCCTGTCCATCGTCCGCTTATCGGCAACTTCGTGGAGATTATCCTCATGATAGAAAGCACTTTGTGACCAGTAACTTCTGAGAAGGATATGAAGGGATCTGGAAGCCCAGAAACTGGAACTCAAGAGTAGTGCCGAGGTTTCACACTAGCGGGATATCACCGGAATTTCAAGCGGGCATATTCCTTGTTGCGTAGAGTACTTTGTGAACACAGGGTCCTAAGGCATGTCAACAAAGTCAAATGTCCAATATTGCATCTGTAGCCCTGAAGGACCGTTGACTTATGGTTCAAGACACATATCTAGTGAACTTAGCCAAGTGGAAGACCTAAAATAGTCAGTATTCAAAAGTACATCCAAGAATACGAACTTCAAGATAGCTCTTTGACAGTAACTTCACAACATATTGATCACATGGAATGAATTCATTTCGCCTGCCAAGAGATAGGCAAACACCAAGAACCGTTAGCAAGTTAACCTCTCCAAAAACCACCTCTGTTCCTGTCCTCCAGCCAAGACGGCGCCTCAGCCATGCTGCAGGATTAGTTGAAATAACCAAACGTCCGAGCGAGGGTGATCACGAGCCCCTTAGCTGCAGATTACCACGGAACGGCGCGCAAGCTGTTAAGAAAAACGGGAAAAAGGCACCCGGGCGGCTGCACTCTTTCCTTTCGATCACAGGCCGTTGCACATGTATTTGCTGGCCTGAGATGTGACAGACCAAACGGCTTCTCCCTAACTTGATGAGGCTAGTGAAGAGGGTTCTTTTGAAGTTGGAGCAACATACCGGTAGTGTACAGTAGTTTAAGGGTCTGTGCTGGTGATGTATGCAACTGGGTTGATACCGATTCGCTGAGGTGATTTCAACGGGGTTGTGGGTAGGAATAGGGCAGGAGAGTCGTTATTTGCTCCTTGATATTGCGGCATCGATCTTCATGAGGGCTTGGCCAGTGAGCTATCGAATCGGGAGTTCCTTGGCATCACTGGCTGATGCAACTGCGTGATGACGGTGGCTGTAGTTGCTTCTGTCGTTTACTGTGATCACAATGAATCTACATTTTGACTCATATCGACCACAGCCTCAAAGATCTTCGAAAGAACCGACAAGGAATTCCATCCCTCAGCCGGGAGTTGAGGACAATCAAAACGCCACCATGGCAATTGCAAGCCCGCAGATGGAGGACGTGATTTGAGCGCATTGTAGAGGCTGCTCCAAAGGAACTAATCAAACACATGCCGATTGAGTGTGCTGCACTCCAAGATCTGACCTAGTCAAGCTTGGCCGGATGGTCTGAGGGTGGTCTAGACTGGGTGGTAGAACTTGTTTCAAAAGAAACTGGCATGGAAAAGGATAAGCGTTAGATGTCAGGATGGCGTGAGTTCAAGATTGTTGGTCCTAGTTTCAATTAATTAGGAACAGAAACAGAAAAAGGAAAAAAAAGAGGGCTTGTGGAAATAGTGTCGTTGGGAGTCTGGGTATTTGCGATAATATTTGCGGTTTAGGTTTGGTTGCATACCAGTTCCCAGGGCCCCAGGGTTGAGATAAGCCCAGTATGGAGACTAACTAGCCCACTGATGTGCAGTCAAGGGTTCAGTAGCATTTCGGATGATTGCTAATGAGGGAAAGATGATCTGCAAGATTTTGGTTTTCTCTTTTGAATTTCTTGTTATAGCTTGGCCCATTCGTGCTGATGCAGGTTCTTGGCATGATACTACACAAGCCACGCATAGACCACGATTCTTGGGTAGAGAGGCGAAGGGGTATGAATCTTGGCAATGCAACTCTATCTAGGATCCTGTCTGAGATTGTATTCATTGTCTACAGTGCATATTTGACTCAAGATGTTGAGGCTTGAGAGGCTCTGGAGGATGAGGTCATGACGGTTGAATCCGAAAGGGACACAAGGGGAGAATACCTTTATTCTACGTCATCAAAAGCCAAGTAAAGTAATCAACTCAGACTTTCAGGGTCGCCCTCTTGCCAAGACTCGGCGGCAACGGCACCTGCGCCCCCCCTAGAACTACCACTACCACTACCACTACCAATCCCACTCAACACCACTAACACTAACGACCATTGGCATACCCCAACTCCCGAGCCCACGGAACTGGTGCACAAAAAAGCAAAAAAGTCACTTTCTGAGTTCCAGCGAGTGCGTGCTAGAGAATGGAGACGGCGCCGGTCTTGGTTCCCTAGGTACGAGGGAGTAGTGCCTGGCTTCCATGCCATGCCATGCCTGCCAGGTCCTTTGTCTTTGATCCCCTTCTTAGTGTGCAAGCCACAGGGAGGGCGTTGCATGGGCCAGAAAGACGGGCCCAACTCTATTTTATTTGCTGCAGACTTGCTTTCTGCACTGCACGCACGGCACGGGGAGAGACACGCAGCCCCAGGCCCCAGGCCCCGGGCGACAGGCGACAGGCGACAGGTCAACCAGCTTGTCCCGTTTCAAACTTTGCAGACAGGGATACGACACGAGCCAAGAGGCCGTGACCGTGACCGTGACCTACCCTTCTTCAGTTCCTTTCTTCAGCCCAGCCTCCACCGCCGCCGTCATCTGCTTAAAATGGCGCGTGGCAGCCAAAAAGCCATTCAATGAAACAGAAAAACAAGCCACTCAAGATAACTACCGTAAAAGTAATAAACAAGAGAAGAGGGAAAAAAACCACTTGGAGAGAAACAGGCCGATTCAGCGTCTTCTGTGTCAGACACCCTGATCCTGAGCTGAAACTTGACTTTGAGGCTGACGAACTTGTCTTGTCTTGTATTAAACGATCATCACCACCACCATCCTACACCAAAGAGAATAAAACCGTTAGAGCCGAGCTCACTCACTGTACATATACATACATACAAGTGTTCACTGTCACTCGTCTATCGACACAGCCTCGTGCCAAGAGAGCTTGTTCGAGGGCCAAGAGCCGAGTAAGCAAGGACGGAAGATCGGTAGTTGGGTGTTATTTTTCTTATCGTTCCTGTTAGTTGTATATGTAATCCTCTTTTTTTCACTGCCTTGCGTAAGACCATACCAAGACCCAAGACCTCTGCAATAGCTTGAGACACGGACACGACAGGGAAATAAGTACAAGCGGGGAGTGGATTCTAGGTTCTTAACACCGAGAGAGACTTACAACTTACACCACTTCACCTTCACCTTCACCTTCACTCTCACTTCACTTGACCTTTTACTTCTCAGCTTCTTCTTCTTCTCCAACCAGGACATGGCAGAACTTCACCCTTCCTCCTCGACAAATGGAAATCATCACACCCCAGGACTATCAGAACAACGCTCGCAAGCGACAGCGTCGCAGTCTTCGTCCCTGTGACGCCTGTCGGAAGCGCAAGACTCGCTGCGTTACAAAGGACGGCGACGACAACTGCGTCCACTGCCAGCTGAGAGCCACGCCGTGTACCTTCCAGCATGATCCTCCGGAGCGACAGGTCGCCAGCGGTAGTGGCAGTAGTGGTGCTATTATTTCCGGCCCAAACTCAAATACAACAATCTCCCTGCAACAGCTGCCGCCGCAGGACGATGCCGCCCATGAGGACCAGAGCCAGACGTCAGCCCGGAGCATGAGCCAGAGCCGGAAAGCGTCGCGAGACGATGTCCAGTCTGTCCACTCCGTCCCCTCGGTCCAGGCATTTTTATCTCCTGCTGAGACTAGGGCTTCTGCTGATAGCGGCATTCCTCTCGCTCCGCCCTCTGTCATGGTCCCGGAGCTTGGTCCCCTGGACCGCACTATGGGATGCTCGTCTACGCGGTTTGCAGAGCTTTATGGTCTGGGGAGCGATATGGAACCTATACTAATGCGACATCGACCCTACGATCCTCAGACTCACGAGTTTAGCCTCGACACACATGCTATTCGACGCGTGCTGGAGAGAGATGACGGTCAGGAGTATCCCTTGACATTTCACATGGCTCGCGACGAAAAAGCAGTTGAAGGCGATCCGACATTTACTCAGGTCGACGCTATCGAGAGCTGTGTTCGTCCTCACGGCCCAAGTCTCGTTGAGCTCTTCTGGAGACACGTACAACCATGCTATCCCATCCTCTCCAAGGACCCCTTTACCCTTGCCTACAGCCAGTCATACCGACGCATTCCCGCCGCCCTCCTCGGAGCCATCTACCTGTCCGCCATTCGCTGGTGGACCTACGACCCTGAGCTGTCCATCAGAAACCCCCCTGACGCCGCCCTCCTCCGCAGGATGCTACGGTCCGCCATACCAGCATCTTATCACCGCCCAAAGCTCAGTTCCATCCAGGCCGCCCTCCTCCTGCTGCAGTGCCAGCCCGAGGACCCCCTCAACCCCGACCACACGTTCCAATGGGGGCTCACCTGTCAGGCGCTTGCGATAGGCCAGTGTCTTGGGCTTCACCTCGATGCGAGCAACTGGACTATTCCGCAATGGGAGAGAAATGTTCGCAAGCGGCTCAGCTGGGCGCTATTCATGCAGGATCGCTGGACGGCATTGGCTTACGGACGTCCTGTGCATATTCACGACGATGACTGGACAGTGGGCGATCTTACACCGGGCGATTTTTCTGATTTCGACAGCGAAGCCCACGCAGCTTCGGCGTCCGCTTCTGGTTCGGTTTCTAGTTCTGTTTCTGTGTCTGGCTCTGACGATGACCGGAGATCTATTGCTGCCACTGGCATGACGCAGTTTATACAGATGGTGCGGTTGACGCAGATTCTATCCGTTGTCTACTCCAACTTTTACACAGCTCGGACATGTCGTGAGCAAGACACCGTTATTCTATGGGAGAAAGCCCGGCCGCTCTTCGAGATGTTGACGAACTGGTACCATAGCATTCCGCCGACACTGCAGATGAACGTTATTTACCAGCGCAAGCTGTGCTTCCACGGATACCTGCACTTCTCCTACTACGGCGTCGTAATGACTCTGCTGCGCCGCTTAATACGCTCTACAGCACTCCCACCGCGATGCTCGGACGATCGAGTCCTCTCCAGCATTCGACAGATTGCGCTGCAGACAGCTCAGAGCGCCATATCCTTTGTCATAAGCCTGCGACCCGATCATCTCGAGGCGTTCTGGTACTTCACGTCACCCTACCTCTTCTCGCTCCTCGGCTCCTTCACCACATTACTTCTCGTCACTTCGCTGTCATCGCAGGAGCGACATTTCTGGCAGGAGACCCTAAACTCGTATCTCTGGAATCTTCGCATGATGAGCAAAAGCCATCAGCCGATGCAATATGCCGTTAATCGACTGGAGGGGGCTATATTGCGCGGCCTGGAGCATTCTCTCGCGGTCAATCTGAACGAACCGCTTAATGATAAAGTTAGCCCGATGATGGGTAATTATGGTGCTGATGTTTATGAATATACTGATTTCGGCGACTGGGATCTCGCCGCGGGCGCGTCGGGGCCTTATGATCTCCTCAGCGGTTTGGTCATTCAACCAAATCCCATGATGCCGCAGAGAGATCTTGGATGAAGGGGGCCGCCGAATGAGAAGGAATGCGGCGGAGAGGTTAATAGAAGAAATTAGTCGGCATCTTCGAGGCCATTGTCAGACTCAACTGAGTTGTCCTTGTAGCTCCTCGAATGCCGCATATTAATATCAACTAAATCAACCATACCATCTTCCACAAACCATCCCAATCTGCGCACACCGTCTCGCTCGCCGCTTGCCCAGTTGGGCGGTATAGGTAGTCGGAAACTCAGCGCTCGTCCCCCGCAGAAGACCTCGACGAGCTGACCCCTCAAGAAGAGGAAGACTCCATCGACGAGACTGACGTTATCGTGTCGGACTAACTCGGGACCGTCGACAGGTCGGGGGATATACATGTGGTACTGGTCTGCCCAGAAGTCATCGAGGGGTGGAAAGTCGGTGATGAGGGCGACGGAGAAGAAGCCGTTCCCCTGTGGGTTAAACTGGAGACGATGGCCTTTACCTGAGCTGTCGGTCTGCAGCATGACGCCAAAAGTATGCGCATCACAAGCTGCGACCTTGAAGTCTACCATGAGATTATCCTTCCACTCCGCAGAGCCCAGCTCAGGGAAATGAGTCGCCGTTGTGCCGAGGGAGCAGAGATATAAGCTCGGAGCAGCATTGCTAGGCGACACAGGCTTGGAGCATCGCCATATGTAGCTCCTAAACTCTTGAGAGGCATCAATGTGCAGACAGGCGTTTGTATCTGCCCATAAAACTCTAGTGACACCAAGATCACCTCCCCAGAGCCACTTCTTCTCATCGTCCGCGTAGTCTCCAATCCAGCCAAAGCTGATTCTCTTGTCGGGATCTCCCGCTTTAGGGCATGACTTGGCTGCGTACCAACGGCGTCCGTCGAGGCGGCCATGGGATCCGTCTCTTGGCACACGGAATGGCCCGTATGGTGTGTCAGCGATGCGATACACTGTTCCTGCATTTGGGGCGTGGAAGCGCGAGTACACAAGGTACCACTTTCCGTTGGGCAGGGTGAAGATCTCTGGACATTCGGGACAGAAGACGTCGTTGGGGGCGTATAGAGGTTCAGGCGCAACGGTCCAGGCTTCGAGATCCGGGGATGTTAGCAATGCGATGCATCCTCGGCTCCAATACGGGCCATTAGCTAGCCGAGTAGCTACAAGCATCCAATATCGACCCTCGGCGCGGTTATAAAAGACAAAGGGATCTCGAAAGTCAATGTCTTCATACTTATCGAGTCCTTCGGGATGAATTGTGACTGGTGTTGCATCTTTCTCGAACCTCGTACCATGGAGATCTTTCGCTTTGGCACGAAGTATCGTCTGTAGACCATTTTGCGACAAGTTATACCCCGTGTAAAAGATATTCATGTGCTGGTCTAGATCAAGCACTGCACACCCCGTCCAAGCACCATCGGCATCTGGATCGGAGCTTGAGTCACCAGGCGCCAAGACAGGCTCTGGATCACGCTCCCACTCGATGAGATTTGTTGATCGGAGTCGCGACCATGTTGCTCTTAGACGCTCTGGGTGGTGCTTTGTGGCTGGCGGGGTGTTGAGGTGAAAGACGTGGTATGTATTGTCAATGAGCAGAGGAATGACATCGGCGGAAGCTTGGTAGTGTGATTCGCGAGAGAAGGGACATTTTTCGGGAGGTGGAGTTGGGACAGGGAGTATTGATCGCATAGTCGTGGTGTTGAGAGCGAGTGTGAAGCTGTACTGTATTTGCTGGTAGCGGTTGTGGTGGTGATTATCCAGGTTGGAGCTGTCTGTTAGTTGACCGTGAACGAAATAAAGTGAAGCAACGTCTTAATTATATCCATTTCGGAGACAACCTTTCTTGGCGTTCTCAATCCCCAATGATACCTTGCCTTGCCTTGCCTTGCCTTGCCTTGCCTTAGGGAGTGACAGCTCTACTACCTACATACTACACTACAGTAGCCGAATGGTCGAAGCTTTTTTCCCTCGAGACTCCATCGACGGAACCTGATGGTCAAGGCGTGGAAAGTGGGAAGAAAGAGAGTCAAGTGGAATGAACCTCTTGGTTTAAAAAAAGAATGATAATCACAGAATGCAACCGTGCTCCTGTTTTTTTTCGCACCCACGTTTCCCAAATGGTCCCTTTTGAGAAAAGCCCCGGCATCAAGATGGCGCGGCGCTTCCTCAACAGGTAAAGCCTCATGACTCGGGTGAAACTTTATTTCGACGATCCTAACTTTGGCTGGGCTAGCTTGGGTTTCTATCTGAGCCCAATCGTGGGAGAGGAGACGCCTTGAAGAGCTTTCTTCTAAGCGAGCTCGGAGCAAGGTTCCAGAAGCAATGGGACTGTCGAGGCAGAGAAAAGGGGGCTTGAAAGATGGCAAGTTACTGAGTGAGAGAGTGAGTGAGCATAGGTACTCGTGATATTACTCCTCACGCTGAGGCTTGGCCCTGTATCTTGAGCCTTGTCACTGCTGTAACGTTAACTTGAACTCGCAGCTGATTCCTGATTCCATCGACTGTTTTTAATATCATCGTATCCACTTGCACGGTATCACCGATAACTTGTTTCCCCATATCGTCGTATCTTATTCCAAAACAGAGCTAGACCCAGAAGCCGTTAACCCGCTGGAGAGAAACGAGAACCAAAGGGTCAAACCTCACTTTCCCTACCCCCTCCCCTTCAGCCCTGTAAACTTGGGACTCAACGCGCGGCCATCCATCCGATCCCCGCGGAGAAAATAGAAACATGCCGAAAAGCTTCGTCGTCAAGTATCCCTACGTCTGGCTGTGCTGCGGCTTCGCTACCCTCGGAGCTTGTCTGTACGGCTACGACGGCGTATACTTTACCGGAGTTTCGACTCTCGGTACGTCTATCATTGTAACTAAAGTATTCTTGTATAGCTGACCGTCAAGATGTCTTTGTTCGCGACTTTGGAACGCGGGGTGACGATGGCGGATTCCACATCTCGCCCCAGAATCTAGCTGTCATGACGAGCATGATCAATGTGGGCGAGTTAGTGGGATCGTTGCTAGCAGCACCGTTGAACGATCTATTCGGCCGAAAGGGCTCGCTCTTGACCGGCTCCGTTGCCGTGGTCGTTGGTGTTGTAATGCAGCTATCGACAACTTCGAGCCGTGCTCTTATCACCGCCGGTAGAGCCGTTTCCGGGTTTGGGGTGGGAACCTTTTCGGTAACTTCGCCTTTGTACATGGGAGTAAGTTTTTTTTAAATTCTCCGATTGATCATGTACGATTTGGCTTTACTGATCGCGTGGCTACTTGTAGGAAATAGCGCCGGAGTCTTTGAGAAGTCCCCTTCTCATGTGCTGGCAGCTCGTTTTGTCCGTCTCACAGATCATCGCTGCTGGTATCAACAGGAGTGTTATCCACAACGACACTAGTTTTGCATATCGATTTCCAATTGGATTTCAGCTCATCTTCCCATTGATTCTATTCCTCGGAATTACATGGCTTCCAGAATCTCCGCGCTGGTTGCTCCGCCGTGGGCATCATGACAAAGCGATGCGGTCTCTCCGCTTACTTCACCATGAAGACAAGCACTACGACGCTAAACCCGTGATGCAGAACATCGAAGAAGATCTCGAAAAAGAAAGTTCTAGTGAAATTGAAAGCGCGTGGATTCAACTAATCACGGATCCAATTGAACGTCGCAAAGTGATCTACAGCGCCGGCGCCCTGATCGCCCAGCAGATCAACGGAATCCAGTGGTTCTACTACTTTGGCACCATCTTCTCCAAAGCAATTGGCCTCAAGGACCCGTTTCTTATGACCCTTATTGTATTCATTATTCAAGTCTTTGTCGTTCTTGCGGCGGTGTTGCTGGCTAACAAGATTCCGCGACGACCTCTCTTGCTCATCACCACGGGGATCATGACTGTGTCTATCTTTGTGGTTGGATGCTTGGGTATCCCTGGAGGAACTCCGAGCGAAACTGTTGGCAAGGTCATTATAAGTTTTGTGATTATTGAGATTGTCGCCTTTAACTTTGCTTGGGGTCCTCTTGGCTGGACTATCGTAAGTATTTCGCCCTTTCACTAGTGACCCTTTTAACACATTCTACTTAGGCTTCGGAAATGGCCGTTGGGAGAAACCGAAACAAAATCTACGCAGTAGCAGTCGCTTCTTTCTGGGTCACGGTCTGGGCTACTGTCTTCACTCTACCATACCTCTACTACTCCGCCAACCTCGGCCCCAAGACAGGCTTCGTATACACAGGTCTATGCTTCGTCACGTTGTCTTACGTATACTTCTGCGTCGGCGAAGTTACGGGCCGCAGTATGGAGGAGATAAACGGCTTCTTTCGAGATGGCATCCCTGCACGGCATTGGAAGAAGCAGCCATTCGCTGAAGCCCAGAGAGATCACCGAGTCAACCTCGTCGAGGTACAGGGCAATGAAAAGATAGCGAATCGCTGAGATGGGTTATGAGTTATGTGACTATGAGATCTATATCCGCTTTTGTTTATATGCTGGTCATGAATACAACTTCTCAAAACGGTCCTGTGCTGTCTATGGTCGACTGTGCCAATACCCTCCATAGCTTCGGTTGTAATATATCGTTTTCATGACTACATTCTCCTTCCCATTATGAATAACCTTCCTGGGCACTTCGATGTATCCTGAATTTGATTCCTTGCGAGACCACGTCTTGTCTCCGCGTCTGTGCCTTGAGCGTGAGGTGGGTTGCTGAATATCGGGACTCGGCAATCGCGGTAAATGCTGAGCTCTGCCAAAAAGAGGTTCCAAAGGTTCAGGCTCATAAGTCAAGGTTGTGTCTGGTGTTGCTCGTCCATAACCCATACTGTCTCTAGTAAAGCGATCCGTGAAGCCTACGCTTCCCATCCATGTTTCCTGTCGTCCCATATCTGAGTATGGCGACGGTGAAGATGTGTTGTTTTGAGTTTGTCCATTGTGGTTGGAGGCAGCAGTAGGGTTTGATGATCTATAGTTGTATGAAGGAGCATAGGACGCTTGCTGGGTTAACGAACTTGGGTTTACAGTCTGCATTGTGTGTTGAGGTTGCTGATACTGATATTGCGGAACTGAGCTGTAGTTGTACATGGATCGATCCATATCGCGAGACATTGTGCTTGAGAAACAGTATTGAGATTTAATTGCAGTATTTCTTTTAGCATTTGCTCGAACAAAATTGTAGAGATGATTGCTATACATCTATATATGAGTGCTCATGTTCATATGTTCTGCAATCTTCCAACCTTCAACAACGCCACAGTTTCTTTCTTTAGACTGTTCCTGAAACATGAAATAAACGCCCAACTAACAGCCTCAATTGTAAGAGTTCAGATCCATGTCTCAGCAATGAGCCGCTTCTTTGTTCTTTGTTCTCTTGGCAGTGATACCAGCGGTTTACCGGTGCTGAGGTTGAAGATACCCAAAATAGGCACAGAAGCGCCCCCATAAACAAAGAAATGCATTCTTAGTGCTTCTAAAGTGGTGATAAATTCATTGTCTATCACTGCTGGCAGTGCTTGAGATGCATCATTTCTCATGGCCACGTAGCTCTGGATTATGCACGCTGCCCTTTCTCTGCGCTGATAACCTTTCATGCCATAAAGGTGCAGTTCAAAAAACAGTGAATAGCCCAATTGGAACATCTTTCGCGGTGTCCGTGGCTTGGTCGTGTAGAGTGGCGCTTCACGTTGCGCCTGTGACTTCAACTGTAAACATGTTTATTTTGTTTCCAAACCGATAACTCTATCACATTTATGCTTACTTTCTCAAGCGGTCGTAAGATTTTGACAAACCTGAGGTATTATAAAGTGAGAATAATTTATATGGAAATTCGGATAGTAGAAAGAACAGGCCGCTAGGTGGAAGAGATAACTTGTCTAGGTAAGGGAAGAAACCTCGGGACCTTGACTCTAAGCGATGGAAATATTAGGTAAATTTAGCATAAGCTTAGGGTGCTCTTTGCTGAGTTTATTTTGATACCTTATATCGAGGTTCGCTGTTTTCTTGCCCCCTTAGGCTTGTATACTGATCAACCTTATCCCCGAAGCCTCATGCTTCATGTTGCAAATCAAGGCGCCATCGTGAACACTCTTGCATCACCACTTCTCTGTATGATCCGAAGACATGAATTAATACGATGAAATGAGGGGAGAAGGGATTGCCCTCATAACGTCCCGAGATCACCCACTTTCTTCCCGTCCTCTGAAAACACCATCATTCCAGGCTAAATATAGGATCGTGACGATGCACCTCTTACTGATAGTTTACACCTTGATCGGTGTAGCCATTGCCCAAACTGTATTCACTACAGGAACCTGTGTGACTGAGAGAGGATGCGACCCCTTTCCTACTGGTTCACTTACACCTCCCACTACGATATCGAACACCATTCAACTCACACTGACCCGCATCATAACCATCTGTCCTACAGCGACAGTCGTTGTCTTCAATAGCACCTCGACCACAACTGGCACTCAGACTGTCAACTCAACTGTGGTCTCTGCTCTGCGTGTCACACAAACGTCTTTTGTCACGACCAATGGTGAGCCAAACCCCCCTTGAAGGAGGCTATAATTCTGACAACGTGTAGTCACCACCACCGACGAGGACTTGGCTACTACTACTGTCACGTCGACAAGTACCATGAAATTGACAGCTACAATTCGACGCACAACTACTATCCCTGCTACATCAGGCTTTGTCCCCATCGCCTCTGAGCCAGGCTACCTCCCACGACGCCGTAACAAACGAGATGCTGAAAAGTTGGTACCGACTGCTAAACCAACACTGGAAAAGAGATGCTGGCCAGAAATCCGATCTGTTGTCTGCAACACTACCATCTTCACTCTGACAAACCAGACTGTTACCCAATCTAGATGTCGTCTGCCGCTACCTACTACAACAGTGACCCAGAACGTAACTGTCAACACCGCCACTACGACTGTTACCGCTACAGTTACTAGTACGCGGACTGAGAGTACGACTGTCATGGCTACCGTGCAGAATGTTATTACTTCGACGACTACCTCGACTTGGACTTTTATCACGAGGCCTGTCGACACGAATACGACATTCTTTGCGACCACCACTCTAGCTACTGCGACGACATATGCAGCCTGTCAAGCGAATAATCTCATCAACTCAGCGAACGGGGGACATTTCATCTGGAACATCAACTACGGCGGTCCACAAAACCAGATCCAAGTGGGAATTCCAGCACGGAATGCCTATGAATGCTGTGTAGCATGCCATCAAACCCGAAACTGCATCTGGTCCAACTTCCCCGGATACTGCGAATTGGTCATTGCAAACTCCTGCAATCCCAGCAACAACTTCAATTCATCATTCATCACCTCGCCGGATGTCGGGAGGGGAACGACGATCAGTAATGGTCCTTGTGGATTTATTGCAAATGGGGGAGATATCCCTCTGGTTTAGATTTCGAGTAGAGTGTATATACTTGGATCACCCCCTAATTAAACATTTTCCTCCTTGTGCTCAGTCACAGAAGATCTCGCACCAGCCTTGACCATATCGTCCTGCTCGCTTGGAGCGCGGTCGTGAACGTAGCCAAACATGACGTCCATCTCCTCGAGGGTCTTGCCCTTTGTCTCGGGGAGGAAGAAGAAGGCCCAGACGGTGGCAGTGATCATCCAGCATGCGAAGAAGAACCATGTTCCGTAGCCGAAGGACTTGAAGATGTAGGGAAGAGCCTTAGTAATGGCGAATTGTGTGAGCCTGTAGGAGTTAGTTATTGTTGTTGAAGAGAGATTTGCAGGTGACTTACCATTGAACACAGGCTGCGTATGTACCTGTCAAGGTTCGGAGAGCACCAGGGAAGATCTCAGCTGAGACAATCCAGGGGATACCGTTGAGACCAAAGGACCAGCTATAAGAGTCAGAATACTGAATTCATCACATTCAATGGGAGAACTTACAAGACAGAGTAAATCATGATCATAGCCGTGGCAGCCTTGCCACCAGCAGCAGTCGAAGGAGAAAGCTCCTTGCCCTCAGCAATGATAGTAGCAGGGTGTCCAATCTTGACATAAGCTCCAACGATCCAAAGACAAACAGAGCACATGGCAGATGAGATGATGGTAGGGTTACGTCGTCCCCACATGTCAATGAGAGCACCGTAGAAGATGATAGATGCAACAGCTACAAAGAGTCAGTAAAAGTTTAGCTTCGGTGGATTGTTGAGCATACCCTTGACAAGACCATAGATGCCAGTGTAGAGGGCAACATCGCTGATACCGAGAGAACCGAAAAGAGTAGGTGAGTAATAGTTGATGGCTAAGGACTGTTAGTCAAGGCCTGTAATGATGCAACGGCCAACTTACCAGCAGCACCGGACATGTTCTGCAAAGCAAAAGCGCAGAAAACAAGCAGAACACGGTTTCGCATTCCCTTCTTGGTAAGTTCAGATACAGCACCTCGGAAAAGAGCCCAAGGTCCGGTACCAAACCTGCTAGCAACGTGGGCTTCATCTGCAAGACGCTTTCGAATCATATCGAGATCCTCCTGAAGATCTATCCCATAATTAGCACCAAACTCTTACTCCATAACAAACAAAACTTACACTTGTGATCACGGGGAATCTGTCGCAGACTCTCAAGCGCCTTGGTAGCATCCTCCTCACGATTCTTGCGCATCAACCACAATGGACTCTCATGCAGGAAGAAGCCACCGACGAAGAGGATAGCAGCGGGGACGATCTGAACGGCCATGGGGACTCGCCATGCTGCGGCGGAAGAGGGGTTCATGTTCTGGTTGATGCCGTAGTTGATCCAGAAGCCGATCAGAGAACCGGTTTGGTATGTGACTTCGAAGAGACCGGTGAGGATACCGCGGATGGAGACAATGGAGAGCTCAGCGATGTAGCTGGGGACTGTGGCGGTGATGGCACCGCATGCGATACCGGTGAGAGCGCGGCCAGCGTCTGAAGACGTTAGATAGGGGCTGAGATGAGTTGGAGAGCGACTTACAGATATAGGACAGTTGGTGAGTAGCAGCAGTCATGAGAATAGCACCGATAAGGAATACAACAACGTTGGCCTGAAGAGCCCACTTGCGACCAATCTTCTCAGTAACTTCAAATCTGTCAGCAATTGTCCCTGGTCCAACAGATGAAAAAACATACTCAAAAAGCAAATGATGGCGCCAAAGAAAGCACCAGCTTGGAAAGTGGCAGTGATGTTACTCGAGATATCAGCCGAGTGCTCGGGCTTGATGTTGAAGTCACGCTTGAAGCTTTCGCGAGCAATGGTGGTGCCGATAAAAGCAGAATCATAACCGAACCTATAGTTGTTAATACTCAATTTTCTCATTTCAGTGAGTAAACTTACAGCAGTGATCCTGTAGCAATAACAGCAGCCTCAGTGTACAGTCGCCAATTGTACACCTCCTTTGGCGTAGGCCTATCTTCCACAGCACGAAAGCCACCCATGTTGTCTAATCTTTATCTTCTGATAAATGAACCTTCTGAAAATGGGAAGTGAAGAACTGCAGTGTTGCATGTAAATCCTTCATCCCCCGCAGGAAGGCCCCCTCGGATATATAGCTTATCCCATCGTCAATCCGGGGGGCGTGGGGAAAGCAGAAGAATAATCCGGGGACGGGTGTGGAGAAGACGAGGGTGAGGTCATTCCAACTGCTTTCGCATGAGGATTAAAGAAGTGACAGGGGTTGTTAGTAGTTCATCATGAGTCAGTTGAGATTTTTGCTTGGAGAAGCATCCGACACGCGAGCCGATGCGACGACGACAGGCGATTGGTTCTTGGGTCATGCGGGGATGCTTGGCTAACAAGATTGGTAATTTAGGCGAAGCATGTACCGAGTTTTCAAGGCATCATATGACCTTGTTCCATGTTTGAGCGAAAACTAATGCCGGAATAGATTCATTAACAGTCAGAGAATTGTTCTTAGCTGAATTGACCATGGCCTGATGGTCGATATCCGGCTCGCAACTCGGTTCATAGCGGAATCTTCATGATGAATACCAGACTAACAATCCCGACCCTTTGATCCGGAACAAGAGCTGGTAGTGATATCAAGCAGAAGAAAATGAGAGCCGAAGAGCTTCGTGTCTTTGTACGAGATAGTTGGAATTCGCTAAATGTGATGTTTTGATCATCTCAGACTTGTAATAGCCATGTTGGTATTGGCCGTCTTGTACAGAGTACACCGTGCCTATTGTTGTGAGGTCCTTGCGATTAGATAGTAGAGTATGTGATGTGATTGTTTAACATTGAAACCTGGTCTTGAATATGTACTTGAATATTCTTGAATTCTTTCTTTTGTATGCCTTTACGTTAAATCGCATTATATAGTCTCTAAACGCCCTCTAGATATTCTCTGCCCTCTTACCAAGACCCTTCTCAACAGCCGACAGAGGCTCAACAACCTTGTAAATCCACTCCTGCTTACTCTCGTCGCTATACTTGGGATAAGGCCGTCTGCAATGGCAGCTCTCCAGAGGATATCCGTGGAGCTTAGCAACAACCCACTTGGTACCGTTGATACCACCCTTAGCAAATCCCCATTCCATCTTTGCCAGCTCAAGCTGTGCGGCTTCAGCCTCTTTTGTCTTGCCAGCCTTGTACAAATCGTAGATCTGCAGACAGGTCTTGGGATACAAGTTTGCGACACCGGTGATGGTGCCTGTGCCTCCGACAGAGAGAGCGGGAACGAGCCAGTCGCTCTGTCCAGCGAGAGCAAAGAACTCTTCAGGCTTAAACTGAGCTGCAATGCGGGCAACCTTAGCGATACCACCACATGTCAACTTCACGCCGACAATGTTGGGGTGCTGACCCAGGCGCTCGAGCATCTCCGAGTTGACGTCAAGGCCAGCGACAACGCCAGGGAAGTTGTAGATAACAACGGGAACAGGGCTCGCTTCGGCAAGCTCCTCAAAGAAAGCCACGATGGCATCTTGTGTCATGGCGAAGTGGAAGTAGCTGGGAGTGAGAACGAGAACAAAGTCAGCGCCAGCTTCCTTGGCGAGCTTTGTCTCGTTAATGGCATCTCGTGTGGTTTGTGATGAGGTACCCAATGTGATTGTGATATCGGGACGGCCGAGGGAGACTGCAATCTCTCGAGTGGTTCGGACGAGCTGTGACTTTTCGGCGGCCGAGAGTGTGACGGCCTCTCCGTTTGTTCCAGCAATAACGACTGCAGTCTATTAGTTTGGTTCATGTGAAGCATTTGTTTGAACATACTTCCGTCTAGACCAGAGGTTATCAAGAACTCGATGTGCTTCTTCTGAACGTCCCAGTCGATCTCTTGGTTGGCATCATTGGCAAACCAAGTCAGGGAGGGAACGTGAATTCCGCCAGGGAATGACTTGCTCGTTGTCGCGATTGAGCCCATTGTGATTAATTGAGATTAGGTGTTGAGATACTGTTCGTTTAGATCACAAGATGTTGGAATGAAGAATGAAGAACAGAGCAAAGATGATCAATCGTCTCAAGATCAATGGGGAGGGTTTTGTTCCACACTCGGACATTGTGGGGATATTCGTTCTGCCCCCATCGGATCCATGGGTATCATGCCACGTCCCATGCGGGGATCGACGCAATTCATGGCCATGATGGTTTGTCGGTTTGTCCAAGTGCCAAGACCCATCCATCCCCAGCTTCATCCACATTTAGCATCATGCGGGGAAGTTGGAGACAGCCACATCCGATCGGCTCGACGAGTGTGAGTGGAGCATCGAGCCGAGCGTCAACTTGAACTGTTGAAGACCAAGAGAAGAGAAGTGATCCATGCCAAGTTGCATGATATTAGTGGCATGAGCCATGGGAACTAGTTCGTCCCGACATGTCGGATACATATGCGAAGCTAACTAAATGGTGGTTGGGGTTGCAGAAAGGTTGGTGAGCGACCATTGGTGGTAATTATTGGCGATGTTCCGTGCTCCTCTGAAAAGCAAGCCGTTAGAAGCCGACCATGTCTCAAACAACTCAGACTATGGCAAAGCATGAGTTGAAAACTGCATGCATCACGGCCCGGATATCCATTCGTGCCTTGGCAGCATCTTGTCGAGCTTGAACCTCTTCCAACACTTGCGCCGTGATGCGTGCGTTGCCAGCAACCTTCTCCATTCTAAGAATCTGAGTCTTTATCCACGCCTTTTCGTTGGCGTCTTGCTCTTCAACTCCTAGCATCAGCAGCGGCCATAGCATGTTGACGGGAAGCGTATCCTCAGGGTCCAAGTCCGCCACAATTTGTCTAGCGAGATTTCGGATCTGGTCCAATGCCTCAGACGCCTCTTTTGTCAAGGGAAGATTCTTGTAGGCAACGCGGTGAAGGTGGACTTTGCTAGCGTAATAGTTCGAGAGGTACGTTCGAAATGCTCGCGTGATGACAAAAGCTAGATGCTTCGAGACGTGAGGCTCCTTTAGCTTGCCTGCCACAGCAAAGTCCATCAATGGTGGGCGGTGTTCGTATAGTGTTCGCAAATCAGCCGCTATGACCGTACCGATGTTCATGACTTCGATTTCATCTTCGACCGTCCCTCGGGAACGATGCCAGGGGTCTATCTTGGATATCCTCCCCATGAAGCTTTGGACTTTCTGGTAGAACACAACGCCAGGTTGATAAAGCACTTGAAACAAGACGTCCTCAATGTCTTCAGCGGGATCCTTCGAAACTTCTTCAGGCTCACCATCGAAACTCGCGGGCGATGCTTCTACCAAAAGAAGTTCGTCGTCCTTAGTGAGGAAAAGGCCAGAGCCACCAGCCGTTACCGCCCGACCATCGAGAAGCCGAATCCAAAGAAGTAACTGCTTCTCTACCGATGTCAGGCTGTGCTTATTACTGCTTTGGAAGAGCGTATATGCGCGCTTGAGATTAGAGTGTGCAGCATCGAGACGACTCTCCAAGATATCGATATAGCTGAGAAAGAATAATGCTGCGAGCAGATATTCTCGTGCAGGGCTGTGTTCCGACATTGATGTGCCATCATGGCTCGCGACCTCGGTAACGCCTCGTTGATAGTGATCCTCGTCGCTCATGGTCCAATTCCCATCGCGTCGAGAAAGAAGTAAATTCGAAAACGCCATGATCGCATGTCGCACCATGGGAGAAATGCTTGCCATTTCGACAACAGCTTGTCGCATAGACACCCACTTCTTCTGAGTCTCTACCTCAGCGATGATAGGGGGGTTGACGGAGCTGGCGAAGAATTCCATCAACTTGGTACTTGCATCCGTAGTATCTTGGTCACGACTCCCGGCGCTTTGTGCGAGTGAGGGCGCTGGAAGCGGCGTCGCAAACGCGGTCCTGTCAGGGAATGTAATCTGCGACTGAGCCGCCTTTTCGTGTCAGCACCGCCTACGTAGATGTAGTCAAGAGTTTCGTCTTACCAACATATTTGTTTCCAGCCCCTGATTCTGCTGTGTCTCTGGTGAAGCATTTTGCCAAAAATCGCCGTAGTCCCACATGAAACTTGCATAATCGAAGACTTCATCAACTGCGTTTCCTGGTTGGAACACTGAGCTCCCGGGTGATGTGTCGAAATTTGGTGATAGGTGCTGCTCGATAGATTGATCATGGACTTCGGTGGAAGGCGCTTGTCTTCTTTGAACTCCTGATCGTTGCTGAGGTCGCCATTTGCACTCCATATTCAGCCTCTCGCAATGAGAACATCGCGGTCTTTGCTCATCACATTTGACTTTTCTCCTCCTTTGGGCGAATTAGATGCTGCATCTGTTGATGTTTTGTTTATACATACTTGCATGTTAAACATCCCTCGCGTGAGCGGATCTGTCGTCGTGCCGAGGTCGCAGGTCTTGTATTTGATGGGCTGTGAGTTTGAGGAGATACACCGCTTGGGAGGCGAGGAATGAGAGGTCGTCCACTGTTCATGTCCATTATAACGTCTCGCCGCTGAAATCATAAACGGTCAATGGTGCTATAACGGCTGGTCAGGTCGATTAAAGTTGATGTATAATGCAAGATGAGGAACCTAAATCCGTCACCTGACGCGGAAGAGCTCCGTTTGCATTGGCATTGGCATTTGCGGGGCGCCTTCCAGAAGATCAGGAACCCGTGTCTGGGGTGACAATAAGAAGGAGCTCTACATGTCCATCTTTCCCAAGAATAAAGAGCCAAGAAAAACCATTGGTATTCTGAAGGTGAAGTAAAATGATATAAGGTAATCAACAAATTATAACTCATTAATGGCCTCTGTGCATATTTTGAACATCCCCCCCTCTTTCGCATCAAGTGACAAGTTTGATGACAGTGGGTGGATCTGCAAAGTCAATTCTGCCACCCTGGCGGGTGAGGCCCAAGCTGTCGGGACAGCTTATAGACTCGATACCTTCGGGTTCAGAAACGGGTTGGTTATAAAAAGAGATTCTATTAGAATGAACCCTCGCCGCTGAATTATTCAATTTTGCCTGTAATACTGTCACCGAGTCTGTAGCAATAAAACCACCCAAGTATTAGTTGTGACCACTACTGAATGCCTTACGTCTACAGAGTATATGGAGCGGCTTGACTTACACCGAGTTCAACGAAGCCCAATAACAGCCTTTGCGACTCGTTCTTTCTGTCGCACAAATAAAACTGCGATGAATAAAAAACTCACATGATTCTATAACTTAAGGTGCTTCCATGTGACGTCAGGCTTCATATGAAGAGTTAAAAACCACTTGGCCTTTTCATTTCGCTATAACTTCATCTTCTTAACTCAACCACCCATTTATCCTCATTTACCAACACAACCGTCCATTTCTATCAACCTATCCTAACTAATACTGAAACACCTCAAGTAGTTCATCATGCCTACTCAAGAAGTGCTCAATCTGTGGGAAGCTTCCTCCCCAACTACCAAAAGCGAAGGCCCCCTTCAGGGCACATCAAACCGTTCGTCTCCGTCAACATCAACTTTGTTCATCCAATTAACATCCTCCTTCTCAAGCTTCCCAGTCCCTGGTTTCCAAGCACGAGTGCTTTGCCGTACCACTCAACGCGGAAGTATGCCCGACTTGTGACGATGGACGTCTTGCGCTCGATCAGGTATCACACCCCAAAGGCTTCCAGACGAAAAGACTAAAAGCTTCAACAGGATCGCGTTCGCAACAGTGGTCCTCGTACGCCCGGCTCTATCCACGCCGACATCGTCGCACAGATAGAAGCGAAACGAAAGCGAAAGGCCTCGGAGGAAGCAGAGAAGGAGAAGCAAAAAGCTGAGGTTGAGAAGTCAACATAAGAATATCACTGTAGTGTGTACTCCTCGACGGCATGTTTGCTGTCGAAAAGGAACGTGGTAGCGTGGAGTCTGCGATTCTCTTGGTGGTTGATCATGGGTTACGAATGGAGTCTGACGTCCTGTTCGTAAGACGTTGCTCGGAATAGGCTTCTTTCGTCGTTTCAATCTGACCTGTATCTTTGGTGTCATCTGATTACGGAAAGTCCTTAAACATGTGCATGTTGACTAAATTGAGGGAAACTTGAATAAGGGCAGAAACAAAACCCAGCAGTCTGCCAGTATCCTAACTGGAAAGCAGCGAAGAGACAATATCATATGTTTTCTATTATCTCTTTTGTACGTCTAAACATCTATCATCATATCAACAAAATACATCCCTGTTTGCCCCCTCTAATGACCCTGAGACAGGTTCACAACAGCCCATTTTCCGTTCCACGCCCACTTTCGAGCACCAGAATCACCACCGCCGCCCTCAAGTTGCTTCAACTCCTCATCCTTACCCTCTGGAAGACCGACGACAACATCAGCCTTGCAAGTTCGCAAGGACAAGACGTTGACGCCCGACGGAGGGCCCATAGGGCCGAGAGCCTCGATGAAAGGTGTAGTAGCGGGCCAGGCAGCCTGTCCCAAGTCAGTATTGGTTTCAAACAAGATGGAGGTTACTTACATCAGCGGTGAGCTTGCGGTAGTTCAGGTCACCCTTGAAGATGACAAGCTCGGCCTCCTTGAGCTCCTCGTGCAACTCGGGGTTCTCAGCAGGGAGTCGCCAGAAGCTACCGCCATAAGTCCAGTATCGGTTGGGTCGGAGCATAAGCTGTCCCTCGGCGTGGAACGTAGCCCACTCTTGGAAAAGGAACTTGAGATCCTTCTCGCCCTCCTCAGACAGGGGCTCAGGCTTCTTTCCCTGAAGTTCCTCATCCTCCGATGGTGTGTCGTATAGAGCGCGGGGGTTGGCGACGGCGTTCAACAAGCCGCTGAAGTCGCTGGGCACAACGTCGGAGACGAACCAGGGGATGGACTTAGGTCGCAGGACGACTTGCGTGGCGAGACCAGCTGAGAGAAGGTACCCGGCCAGAATCATATCGACATACAACTCAAAGCCAGCATTGTCGAGGACGATATCAACGCGACGCTCCTTCTTGCCCTCAGCCTGCGCCTTCTTAAGAATATCAAACGCCTTAGGGAGATCATTGACGAGGATGTTCTTCTCAGCCGCCTTACGAGCCGAAGAACCCTGGAGTTTCTGGATGTCCTCATAGGTCAAGTTTGTAAGCAATGACAAGTCTGTAGCGTTTCCCCAAAGGCAAATCTCAAACATCTCCTGGAACAGAGTCTTCTCTGCCTCGGGATCATGTGTTGAGTCTTTATCAGCGCGGAGCTGCTCGACTAATTGCCTATAGTTGCTAGCGAGCTCGAGAACGGCGGGCCTTGATGATCGGAATGTGTCCATCTTCTGTCGGGCGAAAAGATCGTAGGATCTCCAGTGTTCGGTCATGCGGAATATGGCCGCGATGCGTCTGCATACTGTGAGCGGCGCACTCAGGGGGATCTTGTCGCAAGGACTTACCTGTATAGGTAGCATTCGGAGAACAGCCATGGTACATCGTACCAGTGAGCATCGGGGCCAAGAGCCTCGAGCTCCTTGTTATATGTCTCGATCTCTTCCGTAAATCCGTCATCGGGTAGGGGACTGCGCAGTCAGCGGTGGTGTTCTTCTGTGCGCGATACAGGCATATCGTACCTGAGCTTTCGGTCATGCTCAACCTCGTACTTGAGATTGGCGAGTTGCTCGATAATCTTCTTGCCCTCCGCTAGTTTCTCGGGGTCGCTGGTCTTGGTAACGGCGCGATAGACATCGTCAATTCCTTGGGTCTAGTTGACGGTCAGAAATTGTCTCGTGAGGCATACACCCAGAAGTCTTACCAGAATGACAGGCCATCGCCTCTTGACCGATTCACTCGCGAACGAGGTAGGATCGCTGGTTTTGTATTGGGCTGTCGACGGAGTCAGTCGCGTTCGAGGGCAGAGTCGAGAAGCACATACGGGTCTTAGTATCGTGCTCCATTATTCCGTTTGCACAAGTGGCCTACAACGAAGAGAGGGGGAACGAGTTTTCTGCTGATCCGTCTTGAAGATCTCCAAGGAGCAATTATTTGAAGATCAGGCCCGCCATCATGGAAGCGGAGGGGTACGCGGGGCACTTTTTTTGGTGGGGTTCAACAGGAACAGTCTCGAATCTGACGTCAGGAACAATTTTGAATGCCGAGCTGGTCGGAAAACACCATGAGAGGCTAGACCTGGACTACTGAGGCTTGGAGGAGCTGTCTAATTGCCTGATTAGGAAATAAAATCATGAATAAGTAGCTGAGGATATTGTGAGATGACTGATTGTTATCGTTTTCTCAGTCTTTTACAAATGACATTTCATTCTGTCAAGATAAGAACGATTTGCCGACTTAACCACTTCATCTAGAGTTTGTAAGGTAAGTGACCTAAGACTCTACACCACTGATCCATGGCTACCTGATTGTTTGAAACCGCATATCTCCCTTTCCTGAAATTTGCCTCTCTGACTCGTTCCCAGCTAGCCTGATCAACCATTGAGGCAGGGTGGGTTGAAACATTCGATCATTCGATCGGCTGATACTCTTGTCAAGTATCTTGAGGGCTCTCTTCTTCATCCGGTTGCTTCGTCTTCACCTCATCTCTAGCCTATATCTCTATTGTTACCAATAACTGCCATCAAGGTCCTAATAATGTATTCTTTCCATATCTGTTCCGTACTTCAGCTCTAATGTCGGTCCGAATATCATCAGCTGCATGTTTCTGTTTACCCAAGATCCGCACCACTCACCCGGCACGTTCATCCCGACTCCCCTGCCAACATCTCAATCAAGAAGAAACATACCAGGTAGTAACAGTGCATCCGACCTGAGAGAAGACGCATTGAATCGTCTTGTTTCAGCAAGGTTGTTTAAGTTACATCATGTTTGGTCCGCTTATGAAAGGGTCACCAAAACTGTTTCGCTAATCCTCAACCCAGTCAGGAAATACTAGCCACAGCTCCGATTGGCCCGCAAGTTCAATCATCAACCTCACTTTGCAGCAGCACCGCACCATTCAATTCATCGAACGACTTCCAAATACGCGACGCAGAGGAAGGTAGTACTCGGCTTGATCCTCGGTGGATCACCAGCGCTGAAGCGGTAAAAAGAAGTGCATTTTTCCATCTCCATCTGGGGAAAACGGGAGTTGCCCATGAGCCGCGCCAATTAGTACGAGTTTGACGTCGTGTGATTTGTTGATCAATTCCGATCTGAGACCTTCCCCGGACTTGTTTTTGTGGAGGTGTCGACTTAAACGACTTTGAACGAGTTTAACCAGCGGTTGTCTTATTAGCCGGCAGCTCAAGCATCATGAAGTGCCGTACCAGAATTAGACGAGCATGTACAAGGGTCAAGTGTATATAAGAATCATGTTTCCAATACCTTTTCAGTCAATATCTTGTACATACTCAACAGTAGCTCCAGTGCCTTTACCATGTTCTTCAATACTCAATCTCTCGGTGTTGTGGCTCTCGCCGGATTAGCCACGGCTGTCCCTTCAGGAAAGCATCTTCAAACTCGTGAAGTTGGCAAGCTTCCTGCTCTTGGCTGGAACGGCTGGGTGAGGGCCTCTTGAGTATATCATTCCATGTGATCATCACTAACAGTATCACTAGAATCAAGGACAATGCAACGCAGCTAGTGAGAAAGTTGCCCTTGCTACAGCCAAAACCTTCATCAGTCTAGGCCTCAAGGACGCTGGATACCAGTACGTCAACATCGATGACTGCTGGTCTACAAAGCAGCGAGACTCCAAGGGCAACCTCGTCCCTGACCCTGCAAAGTGGCCAAGAGGTATCAAGCCAGTCGCCGATGAGATCCACGCAATGGGTCTCAAGTTCGGTCTTTATGGTGACGGCGGTGTCAAGACTTGCGCAGGTTATCCAGGAAGTCAAGGCCACGAGCAGCAAGATGCAAATCTTCTGGCCAGCTGGGGTGTCGACTATTGGAAGTACGACAACTGTTACACACCCTGCAACACAGGCAACGCTGCCGATATCCAGACATGCCCCAACAACCAAGCTCCTAGCTCTAAGCCTCGGTATGAGAAAATGAGGGATCTCCTTAAAGCTACAGGAAGGGACATCCTCTATTCGCTTTGCAACTGGGGTTATGATGAGGTTTGGACTTGGGGTGCTCAAGTTGGACACATGTGGCGAATGAGCCAGGACAACTGGGGCAAATGGGCGGATGTTGTCCGTATTGCTAACCAGGCAGCACCTATCCTGAAGTACACTGTGCCAGGCCACTACAACGATCTCGATATGATGGTGAGTCTTGACCGTGCCTTGGCTGTGAATGAGTACGATGCTGACCAAAACCTAGATCCTTGCCAACGGTGCTCTTACCCCTGCTGAGGAACGCACTCACTTCGCCATCTGGTGTATCACCAAGTCTCCTATCATTCTTGGAACCGATATGACCAAGCTTAATAGCGATGAGGTCAAGTTGATCACAAACAAGGTACTTACAACCATTTCCCCGGCCGTTCCTGACAACTTCTAACTATGCTCCAGGGCCTTCTCGCCGTCAACCAAGACTCGCTCTCCAAGCCTGCTGTGCCTTTCACTCCTCCCAACACCCCCACCAAGGGAAGCGGCGAGATCTACCCCTACTGGTCCGGTCCCATCTCAACCGGAACAGTTGTCGCCATCGTCGCCAGCAAGGGCAACTTGAACACTCAGCTGAACCTCAAGGACGTTCCAGGACTCAAGGATCAGGAGTACTCGTGGACTGAGCTTCTGACTGGCGCTAAAGGAAAGGGCAAGACTGTCTCTGCCAACTTGCAGACACACGATGTTGCCGTCTTCCGCATTGACCACAACTAAGCCCATGAGTTGAGACTTTTTGAAGTGTATATATTTTGAAAGTGTATCTACGATTTCACGTACAAAGATTGTTGGAGGCTGCTGCTACACAAGACCGATAAGTGGGTAGGCAGTTAGTACATAGCATGAAACTTGGTTCGGCTCAAATCTTCTCATAACTTTGTCTTTCTTCATCGGCCGAACCCTAGAATAGGAAACATTAACCAGTCATATCTGATGTTAATTATCAACGGGCAGATGTGCTAACACTCCATGTCGCTATTAAACAAGCTAAACAGGTAAATACATTCCTCTCCGGCATAAATAAAGCTAACCTTCACAACCACGGTGACCTCATCTTTGGAAAAAGTAATAACTTGTTTTACTGCTTTCACATGTGAGAAAGGATCAGTAGGATCCGCGGGCGAATCTTCTCTCGACAAGAACGCAGACAGTGAAGCTACCCTGCACCACGACTTTTTCTCTCAGGGGTAATTGAAGTAATCAATAATGAGGCGTTGCTCTCTTGGCCATTGGAGTATGGCCATCTTGTCATACCTGATCATTAGATAAATAGGGATGCATGTTTATTATACTTGAAAATGTACTCCTTGTGAAGAGAAGATCCAAGGACCAGTGGCTGAGACCGCTGCTCTCAAGAACATGGAGACATAGCATGACTATGGGCTGATTACCACGAATGTCCTGTTCAAAGCAAACTCGAAAATGTATTTCATAGACGCTTGTTAGCAGTAATATACAAATTCAACCCAAAGGCTCAAGTCTTAACTCGTCTGGGGTGTATCGGCCCCGTCCTGCTTCTCCTCCTTCTCCTTCTTCTCTTGCTCCGACTCAGGTCTCTTCGTCAAAATCTCATCGATGACTCCGAGTTCTAAAGCCTCCTCAGGAGACAAGTATTTATCCCGTTCCATTAGATCATTAATCTCCTCAAGAGAATACTTTTCATGACCCTTGGCCTTGTTGAGGTGATACTGCATGATTCTGTTTGACTGCTCCCGTGTCTTCTGGATCTGATTTGCGTAGATCATAATATCGGATGCTTGGCCTCGGGTACCACCCAGCGGTTGATGGATCATGATCGAGCTATGGGGAAGAGAGAATCGCTTGCCTGCTTCACCTCCTGCGAGGAGGATTGCAGCCATTGACGCGGCACCGCCGACACACACTGTTGATACTGGTGACTTGATGTAGGTCATGGTATCGTAAATTGCCATTCCTTTGTTCTTTGTGAGCCTCGATTGTAGATTGGCTATCGGGTGAACCTACCTGAGGTGACCGAACCACCAGGAGAGTTGATGTACATCGTGATCGGCTTATCGGGGGTATCAGACTCGAGCCAAAGCAGCTGCGACACGATCGAAGCGGACATGTAGTCGTTAACTTCACCATTCAGGACGACGATGCGTTCCTAGCACTGTTAGCAACGACAACTCAATGGCCAGAGCTTGTCCTTACCTGCAATAGCTTGGAAAAGATATCCCCTATAACCCATCAGCTTCTTGAATAATCTGCGACACCGATTCGAACGAACATGTTTTTCTTCCGGCAGCCTGCACTTGTTAGCTGCGCGCATGCAACAAATTGGACTGAGGTAGCTTACCGACGACTCCTCGATGTAGGGCATGGGAATGTTGCCCATTGGTGACATTGGCGAGTTTCCGGAAGAACTGGAGAAGCCAAAAGCTCTCACATGTTGTTGCGACACGCCGCGCAGCACGCGCAACGTTCTTGGCCGTAAAAACATGATCGCGAATGCCTGTGAACGGTGATGTAAGTTTACGG